TTAAAGGCATAGTGATGGGTTTGCTTTCTGTTCTACATTAATAACAATACAATATTCTGGCAGTTGAGCCTGTGTAGGTACAATGGGAACTTCAGCTTTCTTTTTTTTTTTTGGGGGGGGGGGTATTTAAAATGGTAAAAATAAATCAAAAGCTTACTTTGAAGTGAGCTTTCAGTAAGGCCTGACTGATGCCAGGTTTACCTTATTTAGCAAAGTATCAAGTCCTAAATCACCCATCACTAGTATTTGGATTAGTGTCCCCCAGCTGGCTTAGGGCAGGGGGTGTAGGTGTCAGGGAATGTGCTCTTCATCCATTGAACACACAGAGTTTTGGATCCTGGCATGAGTTAATATAAAGTTTCTTGAACAACTTTATGCAGCATATGTAAACAAGAGTCTCTTTGGTGTGTTGGAGCATAGCTGGATATCCCAGCAGAACAAAGAAACCAGTCTGCAGTTTTGTTTGCACTGCCTGTCGTACATTTAAAATACAGCAGGAAAAAAGTCTTATTAACATTTCTTAAGAGTGCCAGTAAAAGCACTAAGCTGTTTCTTGCATTTGAAGTGCCAAAAAAGAAATTTTATTACCTAGTTTAATATAATATGAACATGTTTATCTTCCAGTCAGCATTTTGCTAACCATTTAGATTACTTTTACATACTTTAACCATAATGGCTGGAAACCTCTTCAATTGCTTTACAAACTTCATCCCCCACAAGATAATATTCTAAGAAAAAAAATATTTTAAGATAACCAGAATTATCCTTATGTCCCAGGCCTTTGTCTTGTCATCCTCTCTCCCTCTTTTCTGCCTTTCCCTTTTCTCCCTAAAGAGGTCAGACAGCAGGTAAGCAGGGCCAATTTTATATCCATTTTAATGGATGACAGACTTGGAAAAGACTAGTGGAGAGTGTAATGAGGGCTCTATTTTAGCACTGCACCTCAAATCTTGTAGGACTTATGTGTGTTACTTAGGTGGTTGGGTATTTGCTGTATTCAGGCTTAATTATTTTGCCCAAGAATGGAAAGAATAATTAAAAATGAACACACAAACCAAGGTTCAATGCCACTTCCATTGGAACAGGCCGTATACAAGTGCCAAATATTGAGGTTGATGGCTACATGCATTAATCCAGAGGTGATCCTGGTGGTATCTGGGACCCAGCAGATGAACAGTGTGGGTGTCCCCAGGCAGGGACTCGAGGGGTGGCCATCCTGTTCCACCTGGAGTGGCTCCACACACAGCCTCCCTCCACGGCCTTTCACCACTTGTTTCCACTTTTCTCCATAATTTCCCCCGCAGCAGAGAGTCTTTCTTCTTGAAAATAACAACAGCCAAGATTTAATGAGAAGATTTAGCTTCCCTTTGATAAGACCGTGGCTGTAATAGAGTTTGCCTGCCTGCACAGTCCCATGGTGCAGGCAGAAACTCCAATATTTCCTGCTTTAGCATTATTTGACCAACTGAAAATTCAAGCCAAGGATTGCTTGTATTGAAAGAATGCAAATTGTTTTTTTCTCAATATCAGAACAACAAGACATACACACATCTGTAGGGGGTATGGAAATGAGCGAGTGCATAACTGTTGGAAATAAATTGCTCCCAAATGATTGTTATTTTTTTGCTGTGCCAGTGTAGCATATCCCAATTCTGAGACATGCTAAAGGAGACTTTTCAAGTAGAAGCTTCCAGTGAGACAGAGGTGTCTGCACAAAATAATGGCAGATTGGGAAGCTGAAAAAATATGTTGTTGGTAAACACTGCCTTAACAAACAAGTGCTGCAGTGAGTTAATATTCACCCTACCTGAGGTGGCTGTTCAAATCACACCACCCATGTGCAGAATGACCTTGTGTCTCCCAAATCTTCTGCTGGTGAACTCCACAGGCTGTTCCTTTGCTCTGCTGGGCATGGACGTTGTCCTTCAGTGTCACCCTGGAGCAGATCAGCAGAAACATTTAGTGTGTCTCCACTGTGCATGCCTCCTTCCTTCCCTTGTTTTGTTGCAGCTATGATTTTCCTTCTTGAAATAAATATCCTGCAAGTTATTAACCTGTCTTCCATCACCTGAAGGCAGATTTTTCATCTAGTCTCTGTGAGGCTGCCTAAAAAGAGCTCCAAAGGCTCTGTGGGCTGGGGAGAAGGTGGTTCTTTGCACATCACAGAATTTTTGGGGCCAATACTAACTCATTCATACCTTGGTTGAATTTTGACTAAGGAGGTGACAAAAACCAAAGACTTTCTCTTACAGCCATAGTTCGAACTATGACACTCACTATGATTTGTATAAAAAGCTTTGTTTTTGTAGTAAATTCTCACCTGTAAGAACCCATCATTCAAGCAGGAAAACACTTATTTAGAGCTCTAACTTCAGCCCATGGTTTGAGCTTAAAACAGGTAATTTCTGCACTACAAATTTGATTTTATCTGCCACAAGTACAGACCCCTCTTAAGTCCTTACTACGAATTCTTGTCAGGTTCTGTCTCACAATGCCTGCCAGTAAAGCCAACAATGGTGGGGTTTGGAATACCACATTTTTATACAGGACCTGTATTAGGACTGTAACAATGTGAAACGTTGATGCCACTGTATGATAATATTTGATCAGTATGGATTTCTCTTTTCCTTTTATGGTGCATGGATTGTGTGAAATGGAATAGAACTCAGCAGCAGGAGCCTGACATGCCAGAAATCACAGCCAGAGGGGATTGTGGTGTTTGCACCCAGCAAAGCCAAGATCCAAGAGGGAACACAAGGGCTGGTAACTCAACTGTGGCCTCACTGGAGGAATGGACTAACTTGGAGAGTATTAAATAGTGTTTGCCTCGTTAGCAATGCCTTACTGCACACCCTCCTCCATTCTTACTTACAGTCTGCTCTGGTTGTGTTGGGAAGGCAGATTTTCCATGTAACTTGTTGATAGAATAGGGGCGAGGGTCCCTATTGATAATTTGAGTGCAGGTGTAATGAGATTAACAGTGGGGGACAGCTGGGGTGGAAAGCCAGGTACAATTATTTTCCATTAGCCAAGCACACCTCTTCCCTGATGAGAGGAGCTATTGCCAGATCCAAGGAAAACACATCTGTCCTCTCCATCCAGGTAGTTTGTAATGTGCTTTGGGATTTTCTGAGGTGAGAAGAATGTTTGTCACTGCTGTTCAGCTGAGAAATGTTTTAGGAAGCAATTGCCATCTGCCTACTGTCTGAAGAGGGAGAAAACCAATAAGTTCTGGCAATAATGTAATGACCACAATTTCAGGTCACAAGCTTTCAATCAAACCTTGATTCAGATGAGGAAACCACTAGGGACCATTTAACATGGCACTAACTGTAATTACAGTGTCTTCAATATTTGACTGAAGCCAATGGTTGTTCTACTTTCCTCCTGCAGCAGCAGCATCACCAATATGATCTCTGCTCCCTCAGCTTTCCTGCAGTGAGGATCCTTTGTCCTCAGTGATTCATGGATGGATCAATGTTCTACGGGACAGAAGTTTTGCTCTTGTGATTTATCCCTCCTAGTCCAGTGCCAATCACTGCAGTCTCAAGGCTCCTTCTGCAAGGACAAAAGACTCGGCCTTTGGTCTCATAAATACATTTTGCTCTCTGGAACTAGGCTATTATCCCATAAAACCTTTCATCCTGTTAATGAAGAGAGCATGAAGCATGTCAAATAGACAGTAATTGATATAAGCTGAATACTGCAGCCTGGCCTGATAGGGAATGTTCCAGCCTACTTTATTTTCAGAACTATCATCCTAACAAATATTTATGGATAGGTGGGATTTTCCTACTGTTTCTAAGGCTGAGAAGTAGGTGGCTGGTACAATCCTACCCATTTGTTTTCAAATAGTTATTAATTGTGGAATGGCTTTCTCAAAGGGATGTAGAAACGTCCTTTGCTCAGGACTACAGAGAAAGCCAAGAAAACAACAGCATATTTGTTTTTGCCTGGCTCATTTATTGCTTACAGTTTGACTGTGCTTTTAGGAAGACAAGGTGAATTTAAATGTAAAGGAGCAGAGAAATCCACTGAGAGGAAGGTAAAAGAATCTGAAACCATTACAGTCAAGTGGCATAGCTGATGGTAGGAATCTGAAGAGCAAGTGCATGTGGGGTTTAATGACATCTTATTTTGGGATAGTCATTTTCAATTGCCAACACCCGAGTGTACAGAGTACAGAGTACAACAATGCAGCTGCTGCCTCTGCTTATCAGGAGAGACAAATTCCAAAGGCTGAACATTGAGGGCTCAGAGTGGACCCAGCAAACCTGACCTTACAGGTTGTTTTTCACTGAGATCTTGTCTTTGCAGAAAGGCTTGAGTCTTCTCAGAGTGGCGTGTGCTCATCTGAACTTCTTCCACGTGTTGAAAAACCAAAGAAATGCTTCTTGACAAGGGAATGGAAGAAGCCAAATGATTCTCCAAGTTTCTAATTTAGAGTCCTAATGACAGCACCCACTGCCACTCTCCACTACACTGGTCATCCTTTATCCAGCAGTACCTACTTACACATTGCAGGAAAGTTATTCCTACAAGCCTGACTGTGGGATCACACTGACACACCATTAAAATGGGTGTAGTTATAGTACTTTACTCCTGCAGGATGTCTGTTCCCCTGAACTGAGCTGTTTAGATGCTTCAAGGGTAATACCAGTGATTTCACTGTAGTGGAAAAGTACAACAGCAACAATATCAGAACTATTCCAAGTGACAAAGAGCTGTGGTTCATTGCAAAACTTTCTGTTGCAAATCATAAAACTCAAGTGAAGAAAAGCTTTCTCAGATGATCATCACTTTCTGCTGCTTTTTTTCAATATGAAGAATCATCTTGGCCATGCTTAATAATATTGAATGATGTGCTATTCCAGGCAGTGGGATAAGCTGCAACAAATTTGGGGACTTGGTGTGAGCTGAAAAATGAAGGAAAAGAGCTGAACCAACCAGAACTTTACCAATCCACCTTATGATAATGAATACCTGCTCTCTTACTTCTCAAAGGATCAATCCAGTTTTTCCAGGCTGAGGGACAAAAAACACCCACCAGTCCAATTGACTCTTAGTGTGGATTGGCTGAAAATGCTAAGAAAGAAAAATTGTCTGAGTGTCCTAGTGAGAGCAAGAGCAGCTCTCATTCTGCATCTTAATGGCAATATAAAATGACCAGCACTTCTGGAGCAGATTACAGGGTCACATCTCCATTACCATGGGGAATGCAGAAGGCAGAATACGTAAGTACAGATACCACAGTCCCATCTCTGCTTCTCAAAACGCTTCTCCTGTGGTTTAATAAAATTCTGAGGTGCTTTGGCTGTGCTATTCCCATCTGCTTTCATTGCCTTTATTTTTTTTTTTATTTTTAATAGCAATGGAATATGCTGAGCTGCAAATGGTGTTACTTGCTGCATTTTTCCTCATCCCTGGAGTTATATATTCATTTCCAGCTTGTAAAAATAACCTGTTTATTCAGTTTCTGAGTCCTGCATGAGATGGTTCTCATTTTCCCTGTGCTGGTTCCCTGTGGTTTTATCACAACTGCCTGCCCACTCCTGTGCTTTGTCTCAGCCACGGAGTTTTCCTTCCCCAGAAGATTGCTGAGCAGTTCTCTCCAGCAGCATAGAAATGATGGTCAGTGCAGAAGTCTCTTTGTGTTGAATTAATTGCAAGCCTCACTACTAATTTCAGAGAAAGCAGTATAGTGGCCTAACTTATGCTGGATGATTTTGGGCATCATTTATTTCCCTGGTTGTCTCCAGTCAGTCAAACCAGGCGATGGAATGCTCTGTGCTCCCACCTCCACACACCTTCTGCATCTCACTCCCCACTCCCTGCAGGCTGTGCCAGCCCAGCCCATCTGCTGAGGGAGTGCAGCCTGTGCCCACCCCAGCACAGGGAAGAGCTGAATTCTGGCAGTAACCAGGGTGGTCACCACTGCCACAGGGGATGGGCAAACAACCGTGGGCTTCAGTTGTGACAAAGCAGACTGGGGATGGATGTTTAAAAAAATGCCCCTTCCACCGAAAAAAAGATTAATGAAGCCCAGGGATGTATTGTTAAGGGGTGGTGGAGTTTTTTATAGGATGGCCAAGTGGGTCTCAGCCCCACAGTGGCCGTAGGTGATGCTGTCTTGGAGCTGGAGGTGGGCTGCCTGCCCCCCCTTGGCCAGCTCCCTGCTTTTCCATGGCTGTACAAGTATTTGGTTTCCAAAAATGCTTTCATGATAATACGAGCCACCTTATCATTGCTTTATTGTTTCCCATTCAGAGACTGCAAAATTGAATTACTAAGCATCCCCTAACTCTGTCTCTCTTCACATAGCTCTGGTCTCTTCTGAACTCATCCAGAACCAACAACTCTCAGGCAGACATGTGCAGATGGATCCCTGGAGCATCTGTGGGACACATTTATGAGTAATTACCTATCATCTGGAAGGTTACAGAGCAGCAGCATAAGTGTGACCTGCCTTCTGCATTTATATCTAACTCAAGACTGAGAAACATGTCTAGCAGATGGGAAAACTCCAGACTCTCAAAGTTTCTCCAAGATGGATTATTTACTATCTAGTACCTATCAGAGCAAGGAGAGCTTATCCAACACAGTTTCTCTTATGATTACTCATTCTTTCTTCTTTATTTCATCAGGATCCCAATCAGGACTGATCAAAATACTGAATGACAAACTAGTCAGTATAAGGGATTTTTTTTGGACCTATTTTATGACCTATTTTTTTTTCATTTGTATGCTGCTAGACCATTGCATGCTTGGTTTTGACACCCTGTGTGACACGAGCAGAAATGTTTCCTGACCAGTTTATGCCAAAACCTTTCAGCCACTGGGTTGTCTAATGCCACTGTCACCTGTTTATTTGCTGTTCACAGTGCAGGACTGTCCCACACAAGGTAGAAAAATGGCACCATTTCTCTCTGACCTGCAGGACAGTGTTGTGAAGATGACAGTCTTTCCATAGCTCCTGTTGGGACCCTCTCCACTAACCTCACCAGGAGCTGCACAAATGTTGGTAACACAACCCAACACATTTATTTTTCTCTCTATGATACTCTTTTATATGCCACTCTGGCAGAGCCTGAAAATTCAAGTTTAACTTTGGCTTCCTTTGGATATGGAGATTCAATCTGGATGTTTATTTGAAATGTCCTTTAGTGTGGAAACCACAGAGAAATTTATGTAACAAGATGCATGAGTTTATGTTGTTTCATGGGACTTCTCTAGACCTACACTTCTTGTTTGCTGTTTGCTTCTCCCAACTGAAATGAAGTCATCCAGATAGAAGTCACTTGTTTGGCTCTCTGTGTACGAACCCAAATCCTTTTGGGGAGTTTCCATCTGTCAGTCTGTAGGCCTGGCACAAATATGGAAGTACAGAGGAATTTCTTGAATTATAACTCTCTAGTAACCTTTGCCAAAACTCAGAGGTTGAATTTGGCCTAAGCTTTAGAAAATACCCAGGCAAAGGCTTGTTATGTACAAACTCCTTCACTTCCCTTTAAACCAACATGAAAAAAAGAAGGAAAAGCTGACATTTCAGTTCTGCAAGCAGCTCAGCACTTCTAAGCACTGGCTCAGTGGCTCTGCTCCAGCATCTCTGTTGCCTCCCTTCCTACCTGGAGTGCCCTGAGACTGCACATCCAGAGAGTCTGGGGAAATTTATGAAGTCCAAGTGTTATGGAAATCATATCTCATATTTTTTTTTTTTTAAATCATTCAAACAACAAACCATGCAAGTATTTGCAACAGCAAAGTGAAAGGCATTTTAGAGATGGTGGTATTCATGGGAAGCAAAATGTATGAAATATATGAGCCCTCTCCAACAGTAATCCTATTTTTTCCCCTCATCCCATGAAGTCATTGATTCTTTAGAATTTCCCAAATGTATCCAGAGTCAAAGCAGTGCCCTGCAATGGGGTTTGACACTATTTTATCCATGGTCAAAGTGAAAGCTCCCATTGTCAGGAGTAAAACCCTGGAGGGAATGTGCCAGCCAGGAGAGATTAAACGTTCTTTGTATTGTACAACAAAAAGTGCTGTAAGGTTGATCACAATAAAAGCTTTCCAAAGTGACAGCACTGGGCTCCTTCTCCTCTTTCATCCTTCTTTTAAGCTGTTGCACAGTTATAAAAAGAAATAACATTTCAGCAAAGTGAATGGTCATTCAGTGCTCAGGATAAAAGGTACATTCCTTTTTCATGGGTGGAGAGCGACCATTGCAGTGCCTGGGGGTGAGTCGTGGAGCTGGGTCTCCCACAGAAGGCTGTGCTGCTGCCTTGAAAATGGGAAAATTTATCTTTAACATACCCTGATGTTGTTTTGAGGTTGGAAAGCTTTATGTCAAACTTTCTAGTCCCTCCAGAAGGCAGTTTCATTAATGTCACAACAGTTTTATAGGGGTGAAGTGACTTCAGAAGAGTGTCTATTTGTTTGTGGCTTTTATTGGGTTTTTTTGCAATATACCTAGTTTAAAGTCAGAACACTTAGAAACTGAGAAATAATCCCAAATTTACTCACTGTAATTTGAAAATCTTTCAAGTTGGCCAAGATGGTCAAAACTCTGCTGAGACCTTTCAACAGAATCACAGAATATTCTGAGTTGAAAGGGACTCACAAGGATTATTGAGCCCAACTTCTTATTCCTGTCCAAGCAGAGAGCTTGTCAGAAAACACCCTGTTTTCCTTGGACAGACCAGTGAGATTGGATCCTCTCCTCTGCTTAGAGCATTCAGCCTGGTGGGAAAGTGCAGAGGTGAATGGCGTGGATTGCTCCATTTTTTTCTCTTCAGTCGACTTCAAGACATTAAATGAAATTTACTTTTGTTTATCTGGGGAATTCAAAGCGAAAGTCAGAAAATGAAAACTAAAACAGTAGTGTCTGCCCTGCTGAAATGAACAATTCCCAGGCACTGTACAACAGTGAACCCACACACACCTTGGGTTAATGCAGCTCTGTGCTTATCCAATTAGGAACAGAATGGGGCAACAAACGAGATCTCAACAAGCTGATAGAGCAGGAAATATTTGATGTGAATTTTCTCAGCAGAGAACCATTCTAAGTGATACGAAGGCTTTTTCCATATTTGCAATAACGGCATTTTCTGTGAGCAAATCATCCTGATAGAAATTTTCCAGCTATCTTTTTTTGGGGAATAATTGGGTCATGATAATGCACTGCCTTGAAGAGAGCCTGGAAAGATTAGGCATGCTTGCTTTGAAAAGATTAGCCACGCTTGTTTGGGAAAGGAGGGGTCATGATAAAAATAACGCCTGCTTTATCTAAGCATATCAGAAATCTTTAATTGTGGTTTTATACTAGAGTGGACAGATATAAAAATGAGAAGTTCAAACTCATAAAAGGGAAAGCAAATTTAATAAGATTTGAGACTATTCTATGAATAGCAAGGCGAGACAGAAGTGTCAAAGGTGGCACTGAACATCTGCAAGTCCAGAGTGTAAATATTCCCAAATTGAAAGAAATGCTGAAACAAACCTCTCTGTGTGCAAATGCCATAAAGCCCATGAAATGTCCCAAAGCTGTGGGCTTTTTGTACTGGTTTTTTTTTTTTTAGTTGGCTTAGTGATAACAAATCCAGACCCTATGTAAACCAACACTATTCACAGACAGGGCAGTGGAGGGGCCATCTGGTTCATCTTCCTGCTCCAAACCAATCACTAATGATCCTGACATTTCTTCAGCCTTCCTGTTAACAGGGCTAAAGCACTTCACCTTTCCTGTTTGAATCACTCCCCTCCATTTTCCTCACGTAAACAGAATTTTGGTTGTTTGTTAATTCTTGCATTAGTACACAGACATCAAGGATGCTTGACAGGACAGGCTATTTACTCCCTTCTTATTCCTATTCAGGACAAACCTATCCCTCAGATTTTTAGGTTCTTACTGAGTTCACCATCCTTTGTAGCTGCCTGTAGATTTCCTTCTCTTCCTTGTTATCCTATGGCATTATTGCCAACCCCTTCACTAGAGCAGCAATATGCAAAGATTTCTTTCACTTTATAAGGAGCACTTCAGGTCTGATCATCAGCCCAGGCTACTTCACATTGTGATCAAGGAGGTGAAAATTCCCCTCTGGAGCCATGCATGGATCAAGCACCACCTGTGCTGTGTGTCCCAGCTGAGGTGGGGGCCAAACCCTGGAAGGGAAGGGAGGGGCCACATGAGCAGCACTGAGCTTGTGTGGGGCTTAAAAAGAAGGGAGTCGAGGTAGCCAGCTGCTGTAGTGGGCTCAGAGTTTTACCAAGAGGTGGGAGGTAAACTGTTATTAAGGTTCTGTAGGTCTATTCAAGGAAGGAAAGTGGATGAAAGCTTAGCTCATTCCCACGTGCTCTGGTGTGAGCACTCTCACAGGTTGGATGTGATGACTGGGTGAAGAAAACCAGTCCCTACAACGTGCTCTGGAGCATTTTTTCTGACCTATTACCTTCGTGTTGTCAACCTGTGTTACCAATTACTTTGTTCATCCTTGTGAGAGCTGCTGTGTGGAATTGGCAGAGGCAGCGGACTCTGTGGTGCCAGCCGTGGTGAACTCTGTTTGCAGAAGAAAACTTTTTGACACTTTTTTTCCCCCAAATACTGCTTTACTGGTTTATGACTAATTGAAAAAAGGGTTCGTGCCTGAAGTTTTCTACCACTGCCTCTCCGTGGATGAACCCAAGCTGCACCCTCGCTGGATGACTGCCAAGGTATTTATCTGTTGTTTCTCATTGGAGCGGTGGCTGGGTTTCCTTTTTGATATTCCAGTGGAGCAGATAACATTTGTAATTCTCTTTCAATCCAGCAAAGTGTATCAACAGCATAATTTTGCAGGTTTTCCTCGCTGGTACAAAGTGCCTGGTTCCCTGTGGGGGTTGTTGTGGGTCTGGGATGGGATCCCTGTTGTGCTTTTTAAACGCCTCACTGTAAATCTTTGCATTACATGATTGTGATGTCCTGCTGGGTCTCTGTTGGAGTGTGATTTTGGCAAGGTTCTGCTTTGAAGGCTATGGCAGGTCAGAAGTGTTCCTTCCCATGCTCATGTTCTTAAGCCTGTGGCACATTTCTGGTCGTGAGCTGTGCTCGCAGTTCATCCGTCTGAAAATTAAGTGGCCAAAAGTAGTGGTCACTTTTAACTCCCTGTCTTTATTCTATTGCCCAGCTCAGCTCAGCTCACATCTGAAGAATCAGCCCAAGAACAGCACTGAGGTGCAGGGAGTGTGTGGCAGGAGGGGTGGGAAGGCAAGAGGTGTTTCAAAGCAAGGGTCTAGCACAGAAAACCCAGCTTAGCTGATGTGGATTTAGGTCTAAATGTATAGAAAGCAAAGTAGGATTTTTTTGTTAGCTCTGCTTGTGAACCTTTGGAGAGTGTAGTCACTTGACATGTAATAGCAAGGGAGCAAGTGCAGACTCCAGGCTCTCTGGAAGCCTGGCAGCCCTATCTCCTGTGGCATCAGGCTGGCTGGCCTTCCTCCAGCAGGTCCCTGTGCTGCTCTTCCTCTGAATCAGAGCCTGGCAATGTGTGAGTGCCATCATCTCCCAGGACAGGGACTCACAGCCTCTCCCGAGCAAATCTTTGGTGTATTTTAATATATATTTGTTGTTCTTTGTACCATTTCAGTTGGACCCAAAGGAAATGGTTCCCATCTGCAGATTTCTAGAAGGAATTAATTATTGCTTTTCTAAATAGCTCTCTTCTGCCAGCATTCAACAATACCACTTCCAGTAGTTTCTGGAAAGCTCAGGTTCCATGTTGTGAGATTTTTCCCACTGCACAGCCCTTACTACTTGCCATTATTTGTCTCAGTGCCTGCAGTGTATTGTGACACACTGAGGGGCTGGTGTTTCTGCATTGCAATGTAGGGTTTCTTCTAGATGTGTGAGAATTTTAGCTGTAAATATGGGCATGGGGTATATTTGTAATTACTGAATGTTCAATTCCAGGCATGGTTGTACTGGATTTTCCAAAGATCTTTAGAGATTTAACCTATGGCCACCCTATTTAACTCTTTCAAACTTCTCTGTTGGGTTGCCCCTCTCTTCTCCCACGGCAAAGTCACAAACTCCTGTGGTTGTGGGTTTTATGTTGGCTTGGTGTTTGGGTACAGACTGTGTCTAGAGGATGGAATATCTGTGAGTAGGTGAGAGCTCTATATAAAGCAGCTTTCAGTGATGTCTGGGATATTTAATAGAAGTGCCTTGTGTAACACCCCCTTACCTTCACCAAGGGCCAAATGCAAAAGGGCTTTCTGTGGAGAAAGGAGGACTCTGCACTCTTGTTTCCCATGGGGAGACCATCAGGGAGAACATCATTCCTGGAGAGCTGGTGTCCAGATTCAGGAGGTCCAGATGTGTCCACAGATGCACCAGCCTTTTCAGTTTCTCCAATCACAAACTCACTTTGACAGTCTGTCTCCACCCAAACCACCCAGTGAATCAGCATTTGCTCTCTGGTGTTTTCCTGGTGAACGGCATTTTCTTTAGGGAGTCAGCAGGCAGTGCTGGTTATGATGGATGGAGGCATCAATGTAACAGTCTGTGTGAGCTGACACTTACTCAATGACAGACCAGTGGAGCAAAGCCACCAAGCAGGCAGTCGTTCACATCAGCACAATCCAGTCCCGCTGTCAGAGAACGTGTCCTCGAGATCACCCGGATAGAGCTGTCGCCTTGGAAGTAGCTTTGCTGTTTCTGAAGTTAGCTTGATGCTTTTTTATCACACTTGCCACACTTGCCTGTGAGTGATGATTTCCATAAATCTGCCTGGAGGGTGTTTTGGTCTTATTTGTCATGAGATGTGTTATCGTCTGCTTGGTGAAATCCTACGTGGCAACAGTATGACAACAAATGGAAAACTGTTCAAACGGTCTTGTGTTGTCAGTGAATCTTTAAACTGAATAAGGTTTTTCTTTTAATGACTGTATAAAAAGAAATGTTTGTTTTGGGGGACAGCTTGAGTTGGTTGAGCTGGACTGCTCGTGTGGTTCTGTGTCACGAGTGCTGTGCAATTGCTCTGAACATCTGGAGCTGCTGTTATATCAGAGACTCAGCAATGGGTAGAGACCAAAATTAAGGCACTGCTCTGTTGTAGCTGTACAAAATCATTACCATTTATTCCTCTTTCAAAGGGTTTTGTGCTGGGGAAGCCAGATTCAGCTCCCCGTTCTGCTTAATTCCTGGCTGCCCTGTGGGCTGGAGATGTGGGTCTCTGTGTCTGCAGCTGTGCCAGCACTGCCCCAGCTACAGGACCTGTTCTCAGCTCCCCCTCACCTTAAATGGACTTCACCCCTGGGGCTGTCAGGGTGAGAAGTAGGTGTGTCACCTTCTCCGTAATGAAGATAAGGTTGTAAGTATTTAAATATAGTTTTAATGAGGAAAAAAATCTGTTTACTTAAATACCTGAGGTGGTGTTTTTTTTTTCTTCAAATATTTAGGGACAGGAGAAGATGCCTTTGATTTTAATGAGCCTGGATAATTCAGAGGACCTTCAGAAAGCATTTTGGTGTCAGAAATACCTTCTTACCTATGGTGCCAGCAGTCATAGCAAGCTTTTAACAACAGTTGTTCCTCAGGGGCTCCGGGTCTTTAAATAAGAGTATTGATGAACTTCATCAATAAAGTGTGAGTGTGTCTAGTTAGAGATTAGGATAGAACTGTTTCATGTTCTTCACTCCCTGTTTCTAATTTACCTCGAATCTGGCCTCAGCTGATATGTTCTGTACAATAAACAAGTCAAAATAAACTAAATGGTTGTGTGCAATGAATGCACAAAACTTACTGCTACATGTGTATTATAGTGATATTAATGCTGTGCTGCAATAACATACACTTGGGAACGTAAGTGTCATATCTACAATTGTATACAAGAAAAATATAATATTACTTGTACAAGATGAAGGGCAGGATGCTATAGCTTATCTTTGAGTTCTCAGACTAAACGTGTTTCAGACAAGTCAGTTCTCAGATTAATTTTTTTTCAATACACAAAGTTTCCCTTACTGACTTTCTTACATTATTCAGTTGATGTGGAAATCCAAGACAATCTTAACACATACAAACTGTTTCATGTAGTGAATACACTTTGGCTAGGATTAGTCCACTGTTCAGCAGAACACTTGTAATGTGAAATTCTGTATTTACCCGTTTTCTCTGTATTTTTGACTCCTTCAAGATTTCCTGTAAGGGTCTGTACTGTTGGAAAACCCTAGAGAATTCAGATGAATTGACCTTTTGTGAGGATTTGAGGCACAACAGAATATGAAGAGGATTTATGGCATACAGAGCCATCACATGCCTCGCAGAATTCCGAGTTCACCGCTGTGAATCTAGCTAGGAGATGCAAATTAATTCCAGCCATGAGATGTAATAAGCCTGTGCAGAGTACAAGGGCTTTATCCCCCCTGAGTGGCCCACGCCCACCTTCGTTGCTTTTGAGAGAGACCACGTATGAGAGAAAACATCGTCTCCTCCCCTGCAGTGTGATCTGATCTCAAGCCTCCCTGCGAGACTGTTTGTATTCTGGAGCCCTATGGCTCTGAAAGAAAGGAGGAATAGGATAATAAATATCCTTTAATCCCTTTTACTTTAAACACAAAATCCTATTTTAATGTTCAGGTAACAGTTGAAAATCTTTCTGTTCAGAGATTCTTAATAAACATGATGAGGGAGATAAGACAGAGAATGAGTGCGGTATCTGTGAGCAAAACTCTCCCTGCTTCAGTCGTACCTAAGATTGAGCTCTTATTTCAGATGTCTTTTGTCTTCTTTGAAGAGGAACTCTTAAATCATCACAGTCCTTGTCATCTCAGTTGAAGGATCTCTGAGATAGGAACAGCAAAATAAAATAAGACAAAATATGATACATGCTATTACAGTGTGCTTGGATGGTTTTAATTTAAAAAGTGGATGGTGTTGGTTGTTTGAAATGCTTTCACAGACCTGCATATCACTGAGTGTTGAAATGGGAGGGGTTTTTAGTTTTTAATTTCTGTTTTGTAATCTGTTTAGGTTTACACCCCAATTATTTGTAGTGAAAACAAGCCATCTGCACAGTAACCTGTAAGCTCTCTAACCAAGCAGTACC